CTTGTGATGGATCAGCCCTATCCTTAACCTAGCCTGGGGTTTGTAAGGCTGAATTATTCCCTCATATCTGCACTGCATTTCTCTGCAGAGGCAGATTTCTATTATAAATAGAAACTTTTCTCCCTCAGCCATCTGCTTTTCTTGTTAAAAACATTGTAGGAGTCAGGATCGTCTCCAAGGTGATATTCTCATGTTATCCTTAATTATGGCATTAAAGCATGAATCGTGCAGGATAAAGAATGGAGTGATTATGTTATTTATACCAAACTTGGTTCTTAAATGCTTCGTCATCCTGCAGCATGGAAAGAACACACCAATATCCTTCTGGAGAAACCAAAGGACCCTCCAAATGAAGCTGGGATAAAAATAGGGTATCTTGCAGGATTGTAGCAGTGAGTTCCAATGCTCGCAATCCCATCCTGACTGCAGCATCCCCTCCTCCTGCATATCTGTGAGGTGAAAGCATCAAAGGCTCTTTAAAGTGTCTCTTCCAAGAGCACTGCAGCAATGATGACAGGCAGGCCTGGGGCCATTTCCAGTTACCATAGTTAGGATGTGTATCTTGTTTAGGTAGTGTCAAAACAAACCAAAATGTGACTCATCATGTTGATGATGCCACATCAACTCTCCAGGGACTATGTGTAGTAACACCTAGTTCTTTCTGTCTCTTCCAGCTTGTATCAGCTGTTGGGTATCTCCACTGTAGGAACATCCTTCACAGAGATATCAAGGATGAAAATATTGTCATTGCTGAAGATTTCACAATTAAGTTGGTGGACTTTGGTTCGGCTGCCTACCTGGAACCTGGGAAATTATTTTATACCTTCTGTGGGACAATTGAATACTGCTCACCAGAAGTGCTGTCTGGCAAACCGTATGTCACCCTCTGAAAAGTCATTTTTATGCCATCACACCAAAAAAACCCCATGTGGGCAGGGCTGGAACAGAGAAGCCAAGCTGCTGTGCCATTGGAACGCTGCTAGAGTAACCAACCACAGGAAACTGCAGCGAGATTTAAGGCACTGCAGTGGCAGAAGTCACTGTGAAGGTTTTTGCGTACAAAGTAGGGCAATCTAGTGACAGAAGTCAAGTTGTAAAAGCTTGAATATGTACTAAGTTGTTTCTAAATCTGTTGTCAGGCTTTCTCCAGCAAAAGCTGCTCTTTCAGAGAGGTGGAGTAAGCAAGTATTGCTGTTGATAGCACCTTCTTGCATGTCTGTGCTTTGTATCCTCCCACTCTGATCTCTATTCTTTTTTCTACATGTTTCCCTCTGTTTTTGCAGTTTGACCCTTGTTCATCTCCCCACTGATTTTTGTACTCCTTGGGACTCAAGGATTCTTTTCTTGCTGCTGTTTTGGATGTGCTACCTAAATCTTGGCTCTTTTCCCTCTTCTTTCCCTCTCCAAGAGCTCTGTACCTAGCAGCTGGTGCTCTCATAGCTGCTCCACAAGGAAGCCTCCCCAACACAGGGGTGGTACTGCTGTGATTGTACATGCCTGGATGGATCTTGCTCCTGCTTCACTGCTGTTTCTATGGATCCTTCAGGCAGCTTCTCCTAAAGGAGTGGGGGAAAAAGCAATGCAAGGAGGAGAGGAAGTTCCTGCTGGGAATGAGATGAAAGGTGAAGCAAGCAGCTTCAACCAGCTACCCTGGGAGTTCCACCTCTTACTGTGTGAAGGAACTAGCATGTTTTCTCAGATGGAATTGAGATGGTTAATAGTTATTTCCAAATAACTTTTGTTTTGAAAGGGCTGGGAGGATGTTTTTGCTCTTCCAGTTAAATATTTACTTCACAGTTTTGGCTGATGATGAAGAAGGTGGAGGGGTAAGTTCTTGTCACCAGCTTACATATGTGGAAGTTTGGGTGCATGTTACACATACTCATCAACAGAAACTGGTTAGCTGTTCTGTGGTTGGTTTTATTTCCTGGAGAAGGATGAAGGTCCTCAAACACATGAGGACCTTTTTAGAATTCTCACAAACTTCCTATGTTAAAATAAAAATTGGAAACAAGGGCTGTCAATGCCCTTTTTTTCTTTGCACTTTCTTTAGCATATAGCTATATACTTGCAATTTGAATTACCTCTGAACAGGTACCATGGCCCTGAGCTGGAGATGTGGTCGCTTGGCATCACCCTTTACACTCTGGTGCTTGGGGAGAATCCCTTCTGTGAGCTGGAGGAGGCCTTGGCAGCTGTCCTGAGTCCTCCTCGCCCTGTGTCAGAAGGTGAGTTCTTCCCATTTGCTTTTCAAAAGGAGCAGATCTCTTGGGAAAGTATAAGCAGTGTTTTTTCACCCAAAATAAAGAGGAAAACCGAAAAAATGCTCCCTAATGTGTTCTGTGATGATTTGGAAAGCTGCTCAGGGCAGCAGAGTTTGGGAGATTTGTCATTCTTTGAACATAGACCGTATCTCTCATTCCCAACCTGCCTGAGCCATCTTCTGCTGTTTCTGCCCAGGTCTCATGGCTCTCATGGCAGGGCTCCTGCACCCTGTTCCAGAGCAGCGCATGACTCTGGCCACTCTGGCACAGGATCCTTGGCTGCGACAACCAGTGAACCTGGCAGATTATACCTGGGAAGAGGTGTTTGCCTTTGCTGAGCCAGCTCAGACCTCAGGCTAAAGGCTTCTTCATCTAGGGATGACTTAGAAAAGTCTGAGCTCTGTTAGCAGGATAGGTCCCATGGGACGGTTACCTGCTGATACCCACATATTCTCAGTTTATTAATGTTCTTACCCAGGGCACGTTTCAAAGATGTGGGGCAAAGATTTTAATGGGTTTTTTTAAAATTGTTTGTAACTTAGAAAGTATTTTTATTGCCTGGTTTTACTTTTTATATGTAGTTTATATCTGTTTCTGAAAAGTGAATGAATAAATGAATGATTACATGTCTGATGGTTTTCTGGAGTATGTGTGCTCCAAAGGAGACTCAAAACCAGATCTGTAATTGCATGATTTGGGTGGAATGGCTAGGTTGGTAGTGTCCTTTTTTTTTTTTTAATATCAGCATCCTGTCTATATTCAGGAAAACAGTCCTCGATTTTGATGAGACAGAGATAGTGGGAAGAAGAAATAGATCCAATAAAGAGAATTTGGTCGAGACACAGGTAACAGAAACATTTTGGGGTACAGGTCAGCTGGGATGGAAGTGCTGGGGAAAAGCAGCAGTCTGCCCGGCTGCTGCAGCTCTGCAGAGAAGCAACAGGATTCGGCTTAATTACTAATTAGCTTTGGACTCTGCTATCGGAATCACCTGCCTTCTGCAGCACCGTGCCCAGGCGTGCATCCGCGGCGGGGATGACGAGCGGCGGCCTTATCAGCTCCAGCGGCGGGGCCGGGCTCTGCGGGCGGAAGGTTCGGGGCTGTTCGTGCCCCGAGCGCTCCAGCCCCGGCCTCCCACCCCGCCCCTCACTCCGCCGGCGCTGCCCAGGGCGGGATCGGGGCCGGGCCGGGGCGGAGCGGGGCTGGCCCTGCGGGGCTGGCCCGGCCCCACCGCGGTCATGGCGGGGCTGCTGGGGCTGCGCGGCGCCGGGAGGGCGCTGGTG